ACAAAACAGCCAGAAAAGAGTTAACAAAATGGCAATAAGTACATACCTAACACTCATTACTTTAAAGGTAAATGGACTAATTCTCTAATCAAAAGACAGAGTGGCTGGATGGATTAAAAAAACAAGACGCATCTCTATGCTGCCTGCAAGAGACTGACTTCAGATGTAAGGACACACACAGACTGAAAGTGAAGGGATGGGATAAGATATTCCATGCAAATAGAAACCAAAAGAAAGCTGAGGTGGCTATACTTATACCAGACAAAATAGACTTTAAACAAAGACTATTTAAACAAAGACTATAGGGCCGGCCCCGTGGCTTGGTGGTTAAGTGAGCGCGCTCCACTGCTGGCGACCCGGGTTCGGATCCCGGGCTCGCACCGACGCGCTGCTTCTCCGGCCATGCTGAGGCTGCGTCCCACATACAGCAGCTAGAAGGATGTGCAGCTGTGACACACAACTATCTACTGGGGCTTTGGGGGGAAAAAATAAATAAATAAAATCTTTAAAAAAAAAAAAAATAAACAAAGACTATAGTAAGAGACAAAGAAGGCATTACATAATGATAAAGGGGTCAATCCAACAAAAGGATATAACATTTATAAATATGGAAACATTGGCCTTAAACAACACATTACACTAGATTAACTTAACAGACATATACAGAACATTCCATCCAAAAGCAACAGGATACACATTCTTCTCAAGGGCACATGGAACATTCTCCAGGAAAGATCATTTGTTCGGCCACCTGAAAACAAGTCTTAATAAACTAAAGAGAATTGAAATCATAGTAAACATCTTTTCTGACCACAGTGGTATGATATGAAACTAGAAATCAATTACAAGAATAAAACTGGAAAATTCACAAATATGTGGAGACTAAACAGCATGCTACTGAACAACCAATGGGTCAAAGAAGAAATCAAAAGAGAAAAAAAAACCTTGAGACAAATGAAAAAGGAAATACAACACACCAAAATTTATGAGATGCAGCAAAAACAGTTCTAAGAGGGAAGTTTATAGTGATAAATGCCTACCTCAAGAAACAAAAATCTCAACCTAACTACACCTCAAGGAACTAGAAAAGAAAATGAGGCCCAAAGCTGGTAGAAGGAAGAAAATAAAGATCAAAGCAGAAATAAATGAAATAGAGACTAAAAAGACAATGGAAAAGAATGATGAAACTAAGCAGTGGTTCTTTGAAAAGGTAAACAAAATTGACAAACCTCTAGCTAGACTCACCAAGAAAAAGAGAGAGGACTCAAAATCAGAAATGAAAGAGGACATGTTACAACTGATACCACAGAAATACAGATGATCATAAGAGACTACTATGAACAATTAAAGACCAATGAATTTGACAACCTAGAATAAATGGATAAATTTCCAGAAACATAAACCAACCAAGACTGAATCATGAAGAAGTAAATCTGAACAGACTGAATACTAGTAAGGAGATTGAATCAGTAATCAGAACCTCCCAACAAACGAAAGTCCAGGACCAGATGGCTTCACTGGTGAATTCTACCAAACATTCAAAGAAGAATTAATACCAGTGCTTCTCAGACTGTTTCAAAAAACAGAAGAGGGAATGCTTCCAAACTCATTTTAGAAGGCCAGCATTACCCTGATACCAAAACCACACAAGGATGCCACAAGAAAAGAAATTACAGACTGCCAATACCCTTGATGAACATAGATGCAAAAATCCTGAACAAGATATTAGGAAACCAAATTCAACAATACATTAAAAAGATCATACACTGTGATCAGGTGGGATTTATTCCAGGGATGCAGAGATGGTTCAGCATTCACAAATCAGTGTGATATATCACATTAATTAAATGAAGGATAAAAATCATATGTTCATCTCAAAAGATGCATAAAAAGCATTTGACAAAATTAATCCTCCATTATGATAAAAACTTTAAACAAAGTGGGTAGAGAAGGACTGTACCTCAACATAATAAAAGCCATGTATGATAGGCTAACATCGTATTAACAGCTAACATCCATACATAATGGTGAAAAGCTGAAAGGCTTTCCTTTAAGATCAGGAACAAGACAAAGATGCCTGCTCTTGCCACTTTTATTCAACATAGTATTGGAAGTCCTCACCAGAGCAGTTAGTCAAGAAAAAGAAACCAAATTCATCCAAATTGGAAAGGAAGGAGTAAAACTGTTACGCTATTTTCAGATCACATGATATTATATATAGAAAACCCTAAAGATTCCATGAAAAAACTGTTAGAACTAATAAATAAATGCAGTACAGTTGCTGTATACAGAGTCAATATACAAAGATCAGTTGTGTTTGTATATACTAATAATGAATTATCAGAAAGAGAAATTAAGAAAACAATCCCATTTACAATTGCATCAAAAAGAATCAAATACCTAGGAATAAATTTAACCAAGGAGGTGAAAGACCTGTACACTGAACACTGTAAGACATCGATGAAATTGAAGAAGCCACAAATAAATGGAAAGATACTCTGTGTTCATGGATTGGAAGAGTTAATATTGTTAAAGTGTCCATACTGCCCAAAGCAATCTACACATTCAGTGCAATCCCTATCAAAATTCCAATGGCATTTTTCACGGAAATAGAATAAACAATCCTAAAATTTGTATGGAACCACAAAAGACCCCAAATAGTGAAAGTAATCTTGAGAAAGAAGAACAAAGCTGAAGGTATCACACTCCCTGATTTCAAACTAAATTACAAAGCTATAGTAATCAAAACAGAATGATATTGGCATAAAAGCAGACACATACATCAATGGAACAGAATGGACAGCCCAGAAATAAACACACATATGTGGTCAATTAATTTATGATAAAGGAGCCCAGAATATACAATGGAGAAAGAACAGTCTCTTCAATAAATGGTGCTGAGAAAACTGGACAGCCACATGCAAAAGAATGAAACTAGATCACTATCTTACACCATACACAAAAATTAACTCAAAATGGATTAAAGACTTGAGTGTAAGACCTGAAACCATAAAACTCCTAGAAGAAAACATAGGCACTAAGCTCGTTGACAGTAGTCTTGGCAGTGATTTTTTGAATCTGACATCAAATGCAAAGGCAACAAAAGCAAAATGAACAAGTGGACTACATCAAACTAAAAAGCTTCTGCATGGCAAGGAAACCAAAAACCAAATGAAAAGGCAGCCTACTAAACGGGAGAAAATATTTGCAAATCATATATCTGATAAGGCGTTAATAGCCAAAATATATAAAGAACTCATACAACTCAATAGCAAAAATCCAACAATCTGATTAAAAAATGGGCAGAAGATCTGAAAAGACGTTTTTCCAAAGAAGACATACAGTTGACTAACAGACACATGAAAAGATGCTCAACTGATCATCCGGGAAATGTAAATCAAAACCACAATGAGAGGGCCGGCCATGTGGCTTAGCGGTTAAGTGCACATGTTCCGCTGCTGGCGGCCCGGGTTCGGATCCCGGGCATGCACCGACGCACTGCTTCTCCGACCATGCTGAGGCCGCGTCCCACATGCAGCAACTAGAAGGATGTGCAGCTATGACATACAACTATCTACTGGGGCTTTGGGGGGGAAAATAAATAAATAAATAAAATCTAAAAAAAAACAAAAACCACAATGAGATATCATCTTATACCTATCAGAATGACTATTATCAAAAAGACAAATGTAGATGATGTGGAGAAAAGGGAACCCTTGTGCACTGTTGGTAGGAATGTAAATTGGGGCAGCCACTATGGAAAACAGTATGGAGGTTCCTCAAATTTTTTTTAAAAACTACCTATGATCCAGCAATTCCACTTCTGGATATTTATCCAAAGAAAACAAAAACACTTACTCAGAAATATACATGCACCTTCATGTTCACTGCAGCATTATTTACAATAGCCAAGATATGGAAACAACCTGAGTATCCATTGATGGATGAATGGATAAAGATATTGTGGTGTGTATATATACAAAGGAATATAATTATTCAGTCATTAAAAAAAATGAAATCTTGCCATTTGCAGCAATGGATTGGGGGCCTTATGCTAAGTGAAATAAGTTAGAGAATGACAAGTACCTTATGATCTTACTTATATGTGGAATCTAAAAACAAAATAAATAACTCAAGCTCATAGATACAGAGAACAGATTGGTGGTTGCCAGAGGCAGGCGGTAGGGGGTGGGCGAAATGGGTGAAGGGGGTCAAGTGGTACAAATTTCCAGTTACAAAATAAATGTCTTGGGGATGTAATGTACAGCATGGCGACCATAGTTGATAATGCTGTATTGTGTATTTGAAAGTTGCTAAGAGAGTAAATCTTAAAAGTTCTCATCACACGAAAAAATATTTTTTGTAATTACGCAAGGTGAAGGATGTAAGTAGACTTATTATGGTGATCAGTTCACAATGTATGCAAATATCGAATCATCATGTTGTAAACCTGAAACTAATTCTATATGTCAGTTATACCTCAATAAAAAAGAAAGAACGAAAAAGCCAGAATCAAGGATTAGGGTTTGTACATAGTCTGAGCACTTGATGGGGTTGTGACAGAAAGGTTCCCGTATGAGTGATGGTCAGGTTAGATTTCTTGTGAGGACTTTTCCAACAGTACGTCACAGTGATTTAGAGATGTATACTAAAGTTATCTTCAATTGTGAAGCCACTTTTTTATTGTATTTTTTTGTGTTTAACCTTTCTTGGCAATGTAGGAGATTTACTTCTTTGGGTTTTGATACTGTTAAACTATAAATGCTCTAAAATTACACATTGGAAAGGAGTTGGTTAGCATCTTTCTCTGCTTGTGGAGGTCTCTGGCCTATCCAAGGAGTCTCTTCACCTGCATTTACTCACTTGCTGTGTAGAAGGGGCATGGAATGCAAGAGCATATTTTTATTTAATGCTGGTTAGATACTTTTTCAGAAAGGTCATGTGACAGGTTTTCTGATTTTTTTCTATTGTGTTGAACGGTATCTTTTGTGTTTTTGCAGGGGATAATCTTGGCCAACAGTACAATAGCCCACAAGAAGTTATTGGCAAACGAGGTTCTGATATCATCATTGTAGGCCGGGGAATAATAACATCAGCTAATCGTCTGGAAGCAGCTGAGATGTACAGAAAAGCTGCCTGGGAAGCTTATTTGAGTAGACTTGGTGTTTGAGTGTCTTGGATACCTTTTTGTGAAGGCCTTGAAGATACATGGTTTCCTGAGATTGAAATAATAGGCAGCCTTTAATACTGCTTGGATTCTTCCACAGTTCCTGTGTTGGAATGACTTCTGGTGTTACAGTGGTCTTTAGGAAATATTGAATGACTTGTAATCACTGCATTGTTACTATAAGAAGTTCATTTTCAAGCTCTCTTTTATTGAGGCTGATGTTGGTTGGGCACTCACAGTTCTGTCTGTGTCAGGGTCTTCCACATTTGAGGAACCCCCCATCTCTAGATCAGACTTTTTGATTCTTTTAATTGCTGTCCCAAAAATTTTAGGACATTAAGAAGCTAAAACCAGTACAGCATTTCTTGTATCCTTTATTCTATGTCTAATGTGATGCCCAAATAATAATTTAAGTATTAGCTGTTCTCCTCCACTTCTGCTTAAAAGTGATAGTCTAGGTATCCAAATGGTGCTGGTTCCCAAAACTGCCATTGCCCACTCACTAAAGGGAGCAAGGTGGGGCAGGGATGAGAGGACTGTAACTGAGCCCCTGAAGCCAATATCTGGCTTCGATTTCAAACACATGGAGAGGGCTTCTGACTCATTTCTTCCCCTAGGCAGCAGCTGTGGACCTGTGCTGAAACCCAGTCACAGCTTCCTCTTGCCTTATTTGGATTACAAATGGACAAGCTGCTCCTTCATTTATTTTAAAAAAACAAGTGTCAAGAGGTCTAAAGTTCCATTTGGAGGTTTACATGAGGATCCTACAAATTGTCCCAACTGTCATTGACAGAGAGGGAAGTCAGCTGTCACTAGAACTAAAGAGAAAGGAGCCCAGTAACAGAGCTGACATTGCTATCAACATTTCTGGTTTTTTTGCTGTGGTGGCCCCAGGGCAGCCTTTCCTCACAGACCCACCTTCACACATGTGGCATAACCAGTCAAGCAGCCCTCTCACCCTGCTCCTAAGTACACTATTTCTCCCAGAAATTCCTGAGTTTTTGAATGATCCCTGTTCTCCAATACTGATACAGACTTTCCCCATTTTTATATTTCTGTGGTCTATTCAGGAAGTGTCTTGGAGGGAGGGCAGTGAAGGGTGTGGGCCCAGATGACCATTGAAATGGCCCTGCTCTGCACATTCAAGGCCCTGTGTGAGCAGGGCCAGTGGGGCAGTTGCATCTGAAGGTGAATCATTCTGATTCCACCAGCACACTCATGATCCACCTTGCCTTCTCATCGGGATCATGCCTACTGGCAGCGTGGCAAGTGCCAGAGGACACTTGCCATTTCCTTACGGTGACAGCTCTTCCCATCCCTCACTGCCCCATTCTTCTGATGACTCAGATGGAAGCCTGGGATTTCAACTCGGGTTTTCGTTGCATTCGCTCTTGGAGTCTACACTTAAGAGCTTCTGCTCTAAAGTCCAGTTTGAGCATCAAGTCCTAGTGCTGCAGCTTCAGAAAAGTTCCCTCTGGGGAAGGCAAATCATCAAGGAATAAAGCTAAAAGGAAAAGGAAGGGGTGTAGCCCTCAGGGCTACTCTGGAGGAGCTGAAAGTTATGAAGAGGAGGAACATTTTCTAATAAAAACTTACAGAAATCTCTTGGGTGTCTTCAGAGTCTAGGGGACCTTGAGGCTGAGAGACCTTTGGAGTGATGTGCTAAGGTCTCAAGTGCCCACTTAATGGACTTCAGCATGCATCAGAATCACCTGGAGTTGTCTTAAATCAGAGACTGGCTCCAGCCCCAGCATTTCTGACTCTGGATAGGTCTAGGATGGGGCTTGGAAATTTGCACTTCTAAGAAGTTCCCAGGCGATGCTAATGCTTCTGGTGCAGGGACCACACTTTGAGAGCTACTGTTCTGGTTAGTCACATTTTTCTTCTGGAATGAGACTGCTTCCCCCTCCTACTGAGTCACCTACTCCTGCCCTTCAGAAATGTAAACTCCTGCCGTACCAGGATTTTGGCACTACCTGTTCTGTTACAGGCGTACCTTGTTTTATTGCTTCGCTTTATTGTGCTTTGCAGATACTGTTTTTTTGTGTGTGTGTGTGTGTGAGGAAGATCGGCCCTGAGCTAACATCTGCCAGTCCTTCTCTTTTTGCTGAGGAAGACTGGCCCTGGGCTAACATCCGTTCCCATCTTCCTCCACTTTATATAGGACGCCACCACAGCATGGCTTGACAAGTGGTGCATCGGTGCACGTCCGGGATCTGAACTGGAGAACCCTGGGCCGCCGCAGCAGAGTGTGCGCACTTAACCGCCTGCACCACCGGGCTGGCCCCGATACTGCCTTTTTTAAAAGACCCTCCACCAGCAAAACGATGCCTCACTGAAGGCTCAGATGATGGTTAGCAATATTGTATTTTTAGCAATATTGTATTTTTAATTAAGATATGTACGTTGCTTTTTTAGACATAATGCTATTGCACACCTAATAGACTACAGTATAGTGTAAACATAACTTTGATAGGCACTGGGAAACAAAAAATTCGTGTGGCTCTTAATTGTGATATTTCCTTTATTACGGTGGTCTGGAACCAAACCTGCAACATCTCCAAGATATGCCTGTACTGCAGCTCACCTAGGGCCCCTGCTAGGTAACTTGAAGGGAGATCAGAGGAGTGTCGGAGAATCACCTGGCTCCTGCCATGTATTTAAAAATGCAGATCCCTGAGCCCCACCATCAGAGGTTCTGCTCCAGCACATTTGGCCAGAGGCCTGGAAATCTGCATTTCTGACGGGTACCTCAGGTGGTTTTAGGTTTCTTAAGAATAAGCCCAGTGCTGCAGGCTTCTAATCTTAGCAAAAGCCCAGGCGGTCTGGAGTCATAAAACTTTGGAGCACAGATTGATTTAGACAGAGAACTTGGGTTGTCTCGGGGCCTATGAGGGTGCTGCTACTCAGCATAGAAGTAATTTGGAAGCATGAGATAGTTTAGCCCTTTCTCAGTCAAGGAATATTTACAGAGCTTGAGTTCTGAACATGACAACACCTGGTCCTGGTGAGGAACATGGGAACGGTCCCCACACGGTGCCAAGAACATCTGTAAGACTAATGGAGTGAGAACTCGGTCTGGCCTCTTCTGTTACTCTAGGCATTTAGTAGAGCATAAGCCACTCAATTTGTATTGCTGGAGGAACCTAAGAAACCTAGTCTGGCTCCCCTTACATTAGAGTTACAGAAGTATAGACCCAGAATGGTGAAGGGATCTGCTCACAGGCAGCCTATTGCTGACACAGGCCTGTGGTCTCAGTCCCAGCTCTCAACCTCGCTCATGCTGATGTGAGTCATCTCTGTAGGAAAAGCTCCCTAAAGTAGCCCCTGGGGACTGTCTAAAGTCTCTGAAAAAGCACTAGAGGATGAAGATGACAGCCAGAGGACACCTTTAATGTCCTTTCCGCTCAACTCCCATTCTCCCACCTCTACTGAACAAAATGGCTAGTGGGGCCATGCAGGCAAGGCTTGTGAGCATGACCCCAGTCTGCCAGAATCTCCAAAGAGGAGCACAGGTGCAGGGTATTGTCTCCTTTAAGGTAGGTGGGAGTGAGGCTCAGGACTTGTGGAGGAGTGGCATGCGTGTGTGCAGGTCTGTGTGTACACACACAGGGCCAACTGGATCTTCCTGGCCTGGGAGGAACTGAAGTTTCTGACGGTCTGTCATGGTTAGTACAATGGTGGTTAGTATATGGTTGGTTGGTGGCTCCTACCAACCATGGGTTTGCTGCTTCATGAGGGGCTGCCCCACCTCTCAAGGTGTACAGAGCCAGGGGTAGGCAAAAGGAAGAAAGTGCCTGAGGAAATACAGCAACCAGGGGAGGAAAGCAAAATAAACCACCTGGAACAGATGTAAGTGCCAAGAGAGCAGGGGGTCTCTCAAGTTCATTGCTGTATTCTCTGCACTTCCATCAAGGCCCAGCAAATGTTTCTGAATGATGCGAGCACAAGTGTCTTCTGGTGCGAGTGCACTGCCATAGGAAACAGACCACACTGCAAAGACCAAAATAACAAAAACAAGACACAATTTTTTATTTGGGGAACTAAAAAAAAAAAACTTACTTTTGAATTTGAAAGCTTGATGGAAAAATTTAAAGATAGTATGATAATATTGTGAACTATGTTTGTGGGCTGGAAGATCAAATGGAAGAAATCATCAAATTTCAAAACAAAGGGACAAAGAAATGGAAATAATGAGGGAGCAGATGAGAGGCTTAGAAGACAGAGCCAATATAAGAAGACAACATCATGGGAGGAGAGGAAATAATTATAGAAATAATTGAGGAAAATTTCCACAGTGTGAAAAAATACTTGAGTCTGCAGATTACAAGGGTCCACGAAGTTCTAGCAGGAGTTATGGGCAAAGGCATACACTGAGGAATAGCCTATAAAACGTATTGAGTTTCAAGGATAAAAAATTTTACAAGCATCTGGAAGAATAAATACTTGCAAAGTAAAAGGAATCAGACTAGTAGCAGACTGTCATCTGTAACACTGGAAGCTTGGAAACGGTGACATTCATAGGCCTTGAGAAGAAAGGACCGTCAGAACCAATCATCCTGAACCCAGCCATGTGACCCCCTCTCAGGTTGTAGCAGCCTGATTGTGAGTGCTAGGCTCCCTGCAGCCTGTTCATAGTGCACTTCAGTGCTCTGACTCATAGCCACACTGGTGAGTGAGATGCACCAAGCATGTGCCTTGTAAAGGGCTGGTCAGGTGGAGGCTGGGAGTGCAGAGGTAGAGTAGGTGTAGCTAGCCAATAGATAATGGGGTCTGTCGTCAGATGAAGTGGTGACTATATCCCAGAATCTTAGGAAACTGAAATTGATCAGCCCCTGAGAGCTCATCTAATCCAATCATCTCATTTCACAGATGAAGAAATTGAGGCCCACTGAGAAATGATTTGCACAAGGTTTCAGAACTAATTACAAGCAGAGTAAGGACTAGAATCCCTGTCTCTTGACTCCAATTTGTTATTTTTGTTATCACACTCTTTTTACCCACATTCTGTATAGGTAGATATATTCCACTTTTTTACCCCTTTCTGTCTATAGGCAGATGTGTAGCTACACATATACATATAATATTCTTTCACCATTTAATCAAGAAGTATTTACAGGAAGTAAACCAGACATACGTTGTCCTGATCATTATGAAAATTAGTTTCTAAATTAAACTTTCAAAAGGATTTCCATACTATC